AAAGAGTGTTAAAAATGTTGGTACCATTCCTTGTTTTTATTTTCAAGAGATCTCTCTTATATATTATGTATTATCCATAAGGCGGCACTTGAAATGGGAGTGAACTTCCTGTTGGAGATTTCGATCCAAATTAGAATTAGAATGGATAGGAGTTTATTAAAATAGTTTGGAATGGTTAGAATTATGATCCAAATAGGGGTGTATCCAAATTACAATAGTTAGAATTATGATCCGTGATTATTAAAATAGTTTGGAAAAGTTAATATTAGAATTATGATCTGAGTTTGTTTTAAAGAAAAGAGACGCATCAATGCATTTTTATGAAGATAATCATTTTAAAAAAACAACTTTTTAGGCTTAAAAAATTTTATTGGTCGAAATTCTAATTTATAAAAATTAAAAAATTAACAACTTCTCATAAATACATCTAAAATACTAGTATTATAAATAGTCATTTCACTTTACTTTTTTACAAAATCATTTTACAACAATGACTATAATTTTAGCAAAATTGTCGATAGTTAAAAATACCTTTTTGTTGCTGTAATTAAGAATGACTTTATATTTTAATTTAACTTATTTATTATAAATATAAATATAATATATATATTTAGTATTTATGTTATTTTAAGTTTGAATTTTAGTATTATCATTATAATTTTGATGATAATATATATATATATATATATATATATAGATGATGGATCCGTTTATTGTAGAAGTAAGTTTATCTAGATTTACTTCATCCAATAATTTATATTCTATATCAAATTTCAACAATCTAATTGTTGAATTTAAATTTTTTAATACATATATCAAATCTATAAATTTTTAAAAACCATTTAATACTTCATTTCATTAATTTAAATTAATATATAAAACAATTTTATAATTATTTATCAGTGAACGGATCCTCCTCTCATATATACTCGCAATGGCATCATCTTAAGAGATATTCTCACATGCTTGGGGCTAAGGTGCATATCTGAACTACCAAAAATAATAAACAGAACGAAAAACCAATGCAACGTAACGAATTTTTTATTCCTTTCATGTGACATTTTTTATTATTATCTACGATTAACGTTCCCATATAACTTTTAAAAGCGACTCACAAGAAAATAGTAATTAAAAGTATATGTGTTCTCAGAACGTCAGGATCGTGTCAGATTCCCTCATCAAACAGATACATTTCAATAATGTGCTAGCCAATCATAAACAATTATCCACCACTATTGCCGATCGAGTTAGATGAAGGCAGAGTTCTCGCATCAATACCTAATTTTATTGAAAAAGATATATAATTATTTTATAATTATATTATTAGATAACTAATTTTTATAAGAAAATCGGACAGATTATTTTTAGTATATCTATTATTGTAATCTTTATTTATTTATTTATTTGTGACACTAAGTTTTTTTCCCTTCTTCTGACCTTGAGAGTATATTTGAGAATATTGTTGTGTTCAAATATTCTTTTTTCCTTCCTTCTCCGTGGTTGATCCCTGGAAGAAGGAAAACAAGTTGTGGTATTAGAGTGGTATTATCTTGAAAGTTTGGAGGTTGCAAAATTCTCTTCTCCTCTTTTTCGTTTCTTTTCTCTTCTTTCCATGCCTAGAATCTAGATATGAGGAGTTGGATTCAATTTTCGTCCGAGTTGTTTGATTTGTTATTGATCTGTGAAGGTTAATCTTGATTGAAAATCATTGAAATTCGTGGTTGGGTTTGAATTGTTTGCATATTAAAATTGGAGTTTGGGTTTCTTGAACATGTAGAGGAATTAATTAAGGTGATGGATGATTAAATATTGATGCATGTTGAATCTTGTGATGAAAATAAGTTGTAGATGGAGTTTATGAAGAAAATTTGGGAATGCAGGTAGGTTCCGGTTGAGTTTTGATACAAAAAGACATGAAATTGATTGTGTAAATTTGGATGCATGTCATTTTGGTGTGGGTAAATCACCATAAAAGAGCATTCCACAAGTGTTAGAAGTGAAACTTGTGAAATGTAGGTGAGAAATGAAGGAGAAACCATGAACAAGTAGGGAAAACTATATACTTAATGCTAGAGTATTGATTTTGACACTAGAGCGTTGGAAATACCCCTAATAAGAGGCTCAAATAGAGATACAACAGTGCAACGACAAAATGAGCAATATAACGATGAAAAAAAAGGACTAGCAAAGATCCAATGCTATAGTGACAGTTAGGCGCTATAGCGATGGGGAAAACAAGGCTGATAGAAATCCAATGTTGTAGTGGCGAATCGAGCATTGTAGGAGTAGGGGTAAATGACCAAACTTGATCTTGGGGTCTTTATGAAAGTTGTAACCCTATATGGGAGCTTTCCAATGGATTTAGAATGTATGAGATGTTGCATGTATGATCTTTATATGCATTGACTAAATGTGATATATATATATATATGATGTATTGTGTGAGGCCCAATATATTCATGGGCATTGACCGGAGGTAATGCATATAATTTATCGATATATGAGGTGTGGATATTGAAATGCGAGAAGGCATTTAAGCATGTGTGTGACTAACCTAGGAATGAGGAGAGGAAAATATTTGTGAAATGAAAGGTCTCACATAGGGAACCTCTAGGTGGTGCCTAGATAGACCACGCGTCAAGTAGGTCACTATTTGGAAAACCCTCCTCGAGTAGGCATGACTCTTGGTGTGGATTTTGATGTGAGTATCCTCTAGTCCTTAGTTAGTAGTTGAGTGAGATAGGAGGTTAAGGGTAACAAATCTCAACCAAGTACCTGGGAAAGGTTGCGTGGTCTCTTGAGAATAGCTAGTTAGCTAATTCCACATGTAACTTGATAATGCATGTCAATGTCATGGTATGCTCATATTCAGTTGTACCATTCCTAATTGTGGAATCGAACTTTCTATAGTGTAAATGATGAAATTCGAGTAACTAGAAGAGGGATAATTATCCCATTGGAGTGTAATCTACCTGATGTCACTGGGTGTGAAAGTGGTTGCATTGGTTTGGTAGGACGTAGTCACTTAGACTGCTCATATTGATAGGAGATCTCCGTAGATGAATACGTGATGATGCATTGGTTGATGTGGGTGCATATGATGTTTATTGTTGTATGTTCATATGCATGAGTTAGAGGTCTTGTTTGACACGTGATGGATGTGATATATGCTTTCTTGGGTGAGAATAGTTGCATGTACGTTGTTGTAGACGTTGTATTATATAGAATTGTTTTCTATATTTACATGTTGGATCTCTAACTTACCCTTCTATTTTCATATGATTTTAACTACGATGATCATACATTATATAGGAGTAGATCAGGGATAGACTAAAGTGAGTAGTAGATGGTCGGATGATGGACCTTTTGCTGGTGTTAGTGCTACTCTGATGTAGCATGTATAGGAGTAGATTAGGGATGACTGAAAAGAGTAGTAGATGGTCGGATAATGGACCTGTTGTTGATATTAGTGCTACTCTGATGTAGCATGTATAGAAGTACTTGATCGATACTAGAATGTAAGGTTATTTCTAAATTTATATATATTTGTGTGTCTATTGTTACTCGAATTACAATGCAAAGAGAATAGTCATGATTTACATGATATAATCGTAAACATTATCCTTCACAACCATCCACTAGATACCTCATATGTTTCACTTTCACCTAATAGACACATATTTCTAAACATAACATTTGGGTTCAACATCCAACAACATAGTGAATGAGTAAAACTCTTTCTCCTCATTCGCAACCAACTTTAAGATTTTACTTTCCTTAATTCTACTGTATCCACCGAGTCAACCTATTTGGTTTTAAACTTCATAGCATTTCGAGCTTCCTAGAGAACCCACACTATAACAAGTCAAATAATCTTCATCTATCCTTTCCCCATCAATACCTTGGCCATCCACCAAGTCCATGAAACGATGAAATTGAGCTTGAACGTCTTTTGGAATCTGCAACTTGTTAATATATAATAAATTTTTTTTGGTAGAAAAAAAAATTATTTTTTCTATTATAATAAAATAAATATAAAATACAAAATATTATATATGAATAAATATATTAAGATGAGGCCGATATATTAGATGAAGATAGAGTTCACAATAATACCTAATTTTATTCTAAATGATATATTTATTAACATATAAAATATTTATTTTACTCATAGGTAAATACATACATATACTAAACGATAGATGTGAATAAAAATTTTATTTATTTATGTATTGGAAAAAAATAAAGTTAAAGTAAATTTGATATGATTAAATACGTATTAACATCATGAAGTGAAATGATTAAATACATATTACATATTAATAGTGATAGAAGCGATTAAAAATGACATGAAGTGATATTTACACGATTAAAAATATATTGTAAACTTAATTAGTGATGGTTAGGGCGAATTATTGATCATTTCTTTGAGATGCGTGTGTTCACTATTATACTCATGTAGCAACTAAAGGGCTTGCGTCATTAATTGGGTATTGTAGCCTTCTAGGGTGATCCCATTGATATGAAGTTTCTCAGTTCCCAACATAGTTAGTTGGGCTGGGCAGAGTCCATGGCGATCGAATCTGTTCCTAATTGGGCCAGAGTAGTGATTTTATACTATTTGGTCCATCTTAGGTTGGGATATTCAAAGCCCTGCACATTCTCAACCAGTGAATGATGGCTACAAAATCAACCACCTATGTGTAACTGTCCAAAATTAGCATATAAAAGTTGAAAGTACAACATGGTTTAATATCAAAAACCTCACAACTAGTAATTCATTTTAAGTCCCACAAAAATAA